CCTTTTACCCTGTGAGTATGGCCCCCACAATAGACCTGGCTAAAATACTTCAAACAGGCTCTGTTCATGCAATTGGGACTATATGATTCGTTTACCGAACAACTCACTAACAGAGACCCCCCTGGAGCTTGTTAACACCTATTAACAATGTGAAGGAATACCCCTTCACCGTTCGGCTAATTGCCATCACCTTTCGGCTATTTGCACTCTCTGCTATTAACTTCTCAGTTATTCATTTCTTTTTTATGACCATTCGTTAACTTGTTCGTTTTACCGAATGGAGACCACCCTGGGACTAATTAGAACATGGAACACTATGTATCAATACGAAAACCGCAGACTAGGTGGCCGCCATTTCATGCAAACTAATACACGTGGTGAGAACAATGGGTGGCGGCCATCTTGTCTCCTGAACGTGGCCAGCGTGACTTGGTCGTCGAGTGCCTGGAACTATTTTCGGCAACGCACTCGCACGAACCCGGTCTATATGGAACTCCGCTACGTTCTATTTCCCAGCACTTTAGACAAACTGCGTTCGGGAGTTTGAAACAGACGAACGCAAGGAGCATTCTGCACGAATAATCTTTATTCTACCTATTTCGGTTTTCGTATGAATCTCCACGAACGGCTCTTGCTACAAATCCTCTACAAGTGCAGCCCCGGCGGTGCAACACATGGCGGCGGGCACCCGGTTCCTCCCATTATTCCCTGCTCCGCACACTGTCCTCTTCCTCCCATTATTCCCTGCTCCGCACACTGTCCTCTTCCTCCCATTATTCCCTGCTTCGCACACTGTCCTCTTCCTCCCATTATTCCCTGCTTCGCACACTGTCCTCTTCCTCACATTATTCCCTGCTCCGCACACTGTCCTCATTATTCCTTGCTCCGCACACTGTCTTCTTCCGCCCATTATTTCCTGCCCTGCTCACTGTCCTCTTCCTCTCATTATTCCCTGCTCCGCACACTGTCCTCTTCCTCCCATTATTCCATGCTCCGCACACTGTCCTCTTCCTCTCATTATTCCATGCTCCGCACACAGTCCTCTTCCTCACATTATTCCCTGCTCCGCACACTGTCCTCATTATTTCTTGCTCCGCATACTGTCCTCTTCCTCCCATTATTCCCTGCTTCGCACACTGTCCTCATTATTCCTTGTTCCGCATACTGTCCTCTTCCTCCCATTATTCCCTGCTTCGCACACTGTCCTCTTCCTCCCATTATTCCCTGCTTCGCACACTGTCCTCATTATTCCTTGTTCCGCACACTGTCCTCTTCCTCCCATTATTCCCTGCTTCGCACACTGTCCTCTTCCTCCCATTATTCCCTGCTTCGCACACTGTCCTCTTCCTCCCATTATTCCCTGCTTCGCGCACTGTCCTCTTCCTCCCATTATTCCCTGCTTCGCGCACTGTCCTCTTCCTCCCATTATTCCCTGCTTCGCGCACTGTCCTCATTATTCCTTGTTCCGCATACTGTCCTCTTCCTCCCATTATTCCCTGCTTCGCACACTGTCCTCTTCCTTCCATTATTCCCTGCTCTGCACCCGGTCTTCTAGCCTTTATATTCTCCCCTGGTACAATAGTTGATGTACTCACTGATGTATAATCCCTGTAATAACTAATATGATAAATGTGTTGGATATAAAATGTAATATAACTCTAAAATGAAGAAAACACTGTGGAAGACGAAGAGTCATTACTAGTTAATATTTCACGGTGCATTATTTATTAACACCATGATAAACCATTCTGATTAGCTTACAGTGTGTTCCACTGGATAAGTGACAAAGCTACAGGTTACCGATTCCAGAGCTATTTAGTAATTGGGGTTTTAGTGTAATTGATAATTGTGTCTCTGGCTAATATACAGTCTTGATTTACATTTTAATATGTTTCTTTTTCTGTATACAAATGACTCCATAATAAACAGAAATTTTATTTTTCCCCATAACCACTGCATCATTACAGCATGCTAATAATACATCTCACTGCAGTGGGTATGGTTAAAACAGTCCATGAGCGCTGCCTTCCCAGGTTGTAGCAAACAATTTTTAAGGGAATTAACAAGAGACAGTGCTCGCAGGGCGTATTGATTTGATATATCGAGGTCCTTAGTATTGGTTGACATATAGAGTGTAGCGGGCCTGCTAGCAACCCGGCTGGTTGTCCCTGCTCAAACATGTCTTTGCCTAGAAGGGAGACAGTTAAAATATAGAAAGACCCTGTGACGAAAGCAACTTCTCCACTGGTTTTTGGAGGGGCCTGTTTGCCAGCCTCCTAACCTGGGACTATGGGCCCTGTGATAACCCATGTTCAAAAGTACTGTTTTTTGGAACAGATTCAAACAAGTGGCGGCCACCTTAAATTGTCCAGCAGTGTTTTGTCGTCGAGTGTATGGAACTGTTTTGGGCATGGGACCATGTGCACGGTGGGGCAAAAAAAAAAGACTTCCAGGAAATTCCTGAACCCCTGAACTGATCCGGGTGATTTTTGGATATGTTGTTCACCCAGATCGCTGCTATCAGGGGATGTGTATTTTGGGGTACTTTTCGGGGTTTGTAAAAATTTATGTTTTTTCTGTTTAATTGTATCACAGGCAGAGGGGAGGGATTGTGTACACTGTATGGGAGTGACTAAATGTGAAACTGTTTTTATTGGCTTGTTGTTCCTGTGTCCCTGTGCCCCACAAGGACCTGCTGGGTGGAAACCTTGTGGGGAAAACTGTATAAAAGACTGTGACAGACCTCTCTATCTGTGAATTACCTTTATTTTGTGTCGGTTCATCTGTTTATTCGGCTATTTCCCTGTCCGTACAGTCCCTACCCTTTATTCCCTTTTTACCGAAAGAACTGCCAAACGGTCGGCCACCCAGCATGGAATTGTGCTGCTTGTTAACCTCTTGGCCTCATTAGAACCTTGTGGTTAACTGCAGACACTTCCTAATTGTCGAATGTCGGCTGGGTGGTAGTTATTCGTATGAACGAACACCTGGCTGCGGCCATCTTGGACATACGAATGCCCAGCGGTGTTCGTCGACGATTTCATGGAACTGAAAACGGACACTATTTTGACACAAACACCGCTGAAGCCGCCAACCTCCCTTCATCTGTTCTTCCTTTTATATGAACGCTGTACCGTTCGGTACTTTGCCATACGAACAGAGTCACCCCAGATAGTTAGCCCATGGAGTCCATTCGTATAACAAAAGACTATGTGAAAGACTTTGGCCCCATGGCGATTGGACTGTGTGTATGGGATCTGAGCGCTATTCGGTAATATTGTGCGCTCAGATCTAAGCTATCTGGGCATACGTTTGTTACGGTTGCCCCTAGGCTGGCTGGAAGTTGGACCGTAGAAAGGATGCTCCTAGCGCTCACCAAAGGACCATCAGCACTGTAGACACCATAAGTACTGCGTAGACACCATAAGTACTGCAGACTCAATGAACCACCGCTGCTGGGCTAGGATCTCGCCGTCTGCTATCCACCCTGGACCTACGACCAGGTTCCAGGTTCCAGTAGGTGAATCCCTTCCTTCTGTAGAGCGAAGCAGGATCAGGAACAAGAGCTCTTACAAGAGCTCAGTAGCTAAGGGAGTATGAAGAGCATAGCAATCCCCATAGTGATTATAGCTGTCCCCTACAAACATGAGTCAAGGCTGCAAGTTAGAGGGTCAAGTCATTCTGTTTATTGGCACACAAAGAACCTTCTTTTATGCAGGTTTCCCTGAGATAGGACCACCCACAGGGTTTTACACAACAACCAATAATAAACGTATATTACAGAAACACTCCCAGCAATTACACACAAAAATCCTCCCCTCTGCCTGTGATCTAATTATGGTACACAAGGGATTAACATAATTAAACACAGGCAGTAAAAAATACAGTTTTTATCCATACACTGTACCTTTAAAACTACACATCCAATCTTCATAAATTACATATTTGGAATCAGCACACTTAAAACATAAACATAACCAAAAATCAGCCAAATCCATCCAGGGGTTAAAAAGTTACTTGGAGGTCCCTTTATGACCGACCGCAAGCACATTTTCCTGCCCAAAACAGTTCCATAGATTTGGGCTGTGCGGCCGGTCTATTTCAGGCTGAAAAAACGACTAAGTCCCATCGCCGAATGGGACTTAGTCTCTGCAGCTGTAAAACCAGTAGGGGAGAAGGTAGAGCTCAGCGGTGTTCATGGAAATGTGTAGCCGATTTTAGTTCCATGAATTTGGCTACACATACCGCTGACCTCGTCGAATGATCAAAGATGGCCGCCGCCACGTGTTCGGCAAACGAACAAAGACCTCCCAGCATTGTCAATTAAGCTGCGGTTAACCGCAGCTTCTGGGAGGTACATTGCCTGTACACTTCCACTTCTGGGTGGTCTGCCTGTGTGGTACTTGGTTCAGTAAGCCCCATTTACTGAACCAAGTGGGGAAATAGCCCAGCACAAAGAGTTTTAACCAGGTCTGGGGACACCGGGGACACCGTCTTAAAGGGGCAGTGTCCCAAACAAGTCTGGGGACACCGTCTTAAAGGGGCAGTGTCCCAATCTTCCTGATGCCCCAAAAAGGTGCTTAAAGGGCCAGCACCAGTCCCATAAAAAGTCCTTAAACCCCAATATGCTCACCGACAGTCTTAAAGGGCCATACACACCAAATAAAAGTGCATACATTTTCACAGTCTCCCAGGGGCCATAGTCATGTGGAAGGAGGCTGGCAAATAGGCTTCTCCACAATGTAGGGAAGCAGGGCAATTTGCCATTTAAAGGGCCAGTTACAAATAGCAGTTTGTAACAACGTTGAATGTGTGGATTCTGTTCGGGAGTTTTATAATTGTGTATTTTTATGTAGTTTTATTCTACTGTATAAAATGGAGGTTATGCTCTTTCTTCTGAGATAATTGAGTTACTTCCCAATTATCTCCAGGATCGAGAGGAGGGTCCCATACTGTTCAAAGGAGAGTGTTTATCCCTACACTGTTATGATTGGTCAATGTAACTTTTTGTCACAGTTTTCCACCAGGTCCCCTATGGGAGTGTCCACCTGGTGAAAAACCTGCATAAAAGGCGGGCACATAGCCCAGATTAAACAGATTCCTGCTTGACCCTCAATACAGAGCCTCGTCTCGTACTTGGGGGGATTATTCGTGTACTTTCTTTTTCGGCTGTTTGGAGTGTGGATGATTCGTATACTTCTTGTTCGGCTGATTGAAGTGTTCGGTAGCTGCCTTTATACTCGGGAAGGGAATATTCTAAACGGCTTTAACCCCTTTTATACTCGGAGTGCCATTACAAAGACCAAGCTTTTCAATAAACCCTCAGATCTGCTGAGTTCCTGTTTGACCCTCAACACCTAGTCTTGTCTCGTGATTGGAGAGGAACTGCTATGATCACACTGGGGATTGCTAAACTTTGTATACTCCCCTGGGCTCTAATCACTTCCTGTTACCCTCTCCCTGGAGGAGAGGTCTCTCCCAAACAGTCCTGGATGTCATGTCAGAGGTTGATCCAAGGTGGAAGGGAGACAGCAGGATTCCAGTTAAGCTGCGGCGGTTGTGGAGTCTGCGGTGGTTGTGGTGTCCGGTACGGTGCTTATAGTCCTCGGCGTCAGCTCGGAAGCATCCATTAACGGAGGTACCCAGTCAGGGTGCCATGTGATCCGTTACAGACCCATTTCACACAGTCCTGGGGGTACAATGACAACTTTATTGGCCACACTCGGTTTTATACTTTTCTCCATGCAAGGTGTGGATCACACAGAAAGACAATGTACCCTCCCAGGGTCCTCCCCCTCCCAGTCCCTTTGTCCCCTGTTCCCGCCATCCATCCTCAGGGTTTCCCACCTATGGTGACAAGGTATAGAGGCTCCTTCATTCCAGGAGCCTCTGTACCTGGGAGCCCCAGCACAAGAAAGCTTCCTGCCTCCTGGACTCCCAGTTACAGAAAGCCCGCCAAACCGCCATTGTCCCCAAAGAGTGTCCCCACCAATCTCAGGGATCCCCAAAACGGTAAACGCCACGAACAGCTTCCGTTCGCGGGTTCCCTGGGTGAACTTCTGTAGCCCGACTGGGTACCTCCGCCAAAGGACCGCTTCCTAGCTGGAACAGGGGACAAACCACAGCACTTCTGCCCACAGTTGCCGT